GAATTATTTTCTTAATATTACTGCAATTGTGCAAGGCAAATCAAATCAAAACAGGATCAGAGTTTGCTAACAAAACAGCTAAGCGAAAAGTGTGTTAATGAAGACAGGCCGATTAATGTGCATTGAACGAAAAGCTGCAGCACGGATGGGTTGGAGGGGGATCTCCAAACGTATTTACTGCTTTGAGCACAGCATGTTATGTTCAAGGACCCAACATGTGTATGTAATTCAGATTTGAATACTTTTCCCCTCATAATTCTGGGTAATTATCCAACTCAGGATAAGTAAGTATTTTTTTGTGTTTTTTTATTCTTTTTTCTAAATAGTAGTTAGGACTTTTGTTACTTACTGTAATTAGTCCAATCACCCTTTTTTAGGATTATGTGACTCTGCTACTGAAGTGTCCTGCCAGCATTTTTGAAAATTATAACTTGCAAATCACTGTATTTAAAAAAGAAGTGCTAATCTCAGACACTTTTGTAATGCTTTTGACATTTAGTTGTTGTTTTTTAGTGAGAAAATGCACGTCCTTTTCAAGTGAATGCTGCTCAGAAGTCCTCAGACCAGGTTTGCATGGGAGCCCACCTTCTGCTGCAGAGTCGGGTCCCAACAGGAGCCCAAACGTGGGAAAAGGAGCCCTTTGCTAGGAAAAGAAGGTCAGGCTGGAGGAGTGGGGGCACCTGAGGATAAACCAGAGCGGAACTCCGGGGCCTGGCATTTGGGCACGCAGATATTCCCAGAGCGGGGAATGTAACTAAGACATCGGATTTATAGTTGGGAGATTTGGGTCCTATTTCTGGCTCTGCTGCACGACCATGCACAGTTTTGAGGAAATACTTTAAGGCAGCACCCTTGAATTAGGCAGCTTTGACTTAGGTAAGAATTGGTGCCCGAATCCTCCTGTTCTCTGCCCGTCGCGGTCTGCAGAGGGGCAGCCCCTGCCCGAGCCCTCCTCCTCCTCACCTGCCCCTGCAGTGTCCGGTGGGGTTTTCTCTTTGCTTGGGACACGTTTTTCGGATGTTCACTGTGGCTTTTCTTGTATGCACGGAGAGGTGGATGAGCTTTGCAGGTGGCATAGCAGGTTTGTGGTGGTCTCCCCATTCCCATGGATTCATTGCGTTGACTTGGGCCTGCCCGCGCCGGGGCTGCGTTTTCCCTATTGGATTCGATGTCCTCGGGTACAACACGGAGTGAGGGGCAGTCGTGGCCACTGGTGGTGACAACCGAGTCCATGGTCGGTCCTCCAGCCTCTTCCTCTTGCCGTGGTGTGCAGGGTTTCCACAGCCTCCCAGTGCGCTGGGGGCAGCAGGGTGGTGAAGATGAAGGTGGTTGGAGAGGAAGGCCGCTCGCCCTGCCTCGACTCCCCCCGCAATGAGCTGCTGGGCTCACCTGCTTTAGGACGTCCCGTTTTTCGGAACTTTAACATCTTCTTTGACCACAGATGCTAAAAAGCAAGATAAAGTTCAGCTGCGGGAATAGTGAAGTGTCTGCTAAAAAATAATAGTGGGAACAAGGTTACAACTTTGAACCCAGCTGGAATGGGGGGAAATTCTCCTTAGTTGGCCTCAGATCTGAAAATAAATGACTTTTGGTTACATCAGAGCATTATTTTTCAACGTGTAATACGTTCAGTCAGCTTTATAACCTGATTTTTTATGGGTAAGATGCTGAAACTACTTTGTTTTCTTTCTCTTTTTTCTTCCTTTTTTTTCTTTTAATGTGTCCAAAGAACAGCTAGTTAATTAGCAAAAGTAGGGCTAAATCCTAAGGAATATGACTAATGGGACAAGAATTCCTATCAGTCTCAAAACTCAAACAGTCCTGAACAGGAATCAGCTGCTTTTCTTCCCCAGACTTTTTTTTCCCTTTTTTTTTGATGGATTCCTCTGTCTCGTGCTATGCCAGCACGCTAAAGCGCTCACAACACGTTGGCTGTGGAAGGCGGCGGTGGCGAGACAGTCACGGAGCAACTCGGGGCTCTGGGTACGCCAGAAACGGGGTCGAAAAGCACCCGCTTTGCGCGGGGAAGCTCTGAGCGTCCCGTGCGCCGCCGGCCGGCACGCATCCTTTCCCGGGAATTCCTGGAGGCTGCTCCGTGGGCTTGCAGGTTTTCCGCTTTATCATCTGCTTCACACACACAAAATGTTGTGACAAATGGGCCGCAAGAGCAAAATTTAAAAAAAACTCTTAAAAACCCCCACAGCCCTGTATCAAAGAGCTGCTCTTTAATTAGAAGTTCCAATATTTCCCCTAGAAGGGTTTCGAAAATTTTTTTCCTACCTGCAGAGACATATCGAGG